TTTATACTAAACGAAATGCAGTACCTTGAATTCTTTAATACTTTGGGAGAAAAATTCATTGCTGCAGGAGACTACAATGCAAAACACACTTTTTGGGGCTCTCGGCTCTGTAATCCTAAAGGTCAAAAACTCTTTAACGTGGTAACAAACAAGAACAACAATCTAGATGTCGCATCACCCGGGCATCCTACGTATTGGCCATCAGACAACAACAAAATCCCAGATTTTATTGATTTCGCTGTAACGAAGGGTATTCGTCGTGACTCCATTTCGGTGTACACAATTTATGAATTATCATCGGATCATTCTCCAATCTTTCTAATAGTTTATGAAGAACCCCAACTAATTCAAGGTCCACAAAGACTTACAACTCAAAACACCAATTGGCTGAAATTTAAGAAATACATAAGTACTCACGTTCATACCAATTACAAAATTAAAAACAAATACCAGGTAGATGATGCAGTACAAGTATTCAACATGATTCTCTCCTCAGCTGCCGAAATTTCTATACTACAAAATTTGCCTTCTCAGGTAAGAAAGCAGCATCTTAGCAACAGTAAAATCGAAAATCTTCTAGCCGAAAAAAGAAAACTTCGTCGCGAATGGCAAAAAAATAGATCCCCATCAACCAAATCTAAATTAAAAGAAGCCGTAAACCGACTAAAGAGCGCTCTTGCAAGAGACAAAGAAAACAAACAATACAAATATATTAAGAAGCTGTCCCCAAACGGCTAACAAAGGATCACTCTGGAAGGCTCATCAAACTATAAAAACACCTGCTGAAGCAGTGCCTCCGTTAAGAAACTCCAGCGGTGAATGGGCGCGCAGCGACGAAGAAAAAGCTAATGCATTTGCTAATCATCTGAGTCAAATTTTTCAACCAAATCCCTTCAATAATTTGAATTTACCAGCTCAACATATTAACAATAATATTATCAACTTACAAATCACCGCGAACGATATCAAGGTAACCATCAAAGAAAAACTTGTCTGCAAAAAAGCACCTGGACATGATTCTATAACTCCAATTATGTTAAAAAATCTGCCCTTCGTAGCAATCTCATTTATTGCAAAGATTTTTAACGCCATAATAAAATTTGGACATATCCCGACGGAATGGAAAAAAGCGTTAATTGAAATGGTTCAAAAGCCCGGAAAGGATTCAACACTAGCCACATCATATAGACCTATAAGTTTGCTGCCTTGTCTGTCAAAATTATTTGAGAAAGTGTTCCTTGCAAGACTTATGGCTTTCCTCCAAGATAGAGACTTGATCCCAAACCATCAATTTGGATTTCGTCAAAAACATGGTACTATCGACCAAGTGAACAGAATAAATAACGAAATAAGAAGTGAGATCGAGAATATTGCTCTGGTGTCTTTTTAGATGTTGCACAAGCGTTCGACAAAGTATGGCATGAGGGCCTGTTACACAAAATACGACAAGTACTCCCGCAAAACTCACACGCAGTACTTCAATCATACTTGATAGGCAGATCTTTTAAGGTGAAGTATAATATACACACAACTAATGACTCTCCAATAGGTGCAGGAGTTCCACAAGGCACCGTTCTTGGTCCATTCTTGTACCTCATCTTTACTTCAGATATTCTTTCAAATACCAATTTAGTAATATCAACATTTGCTGACGATACCGCTATTTTGTGCCGACATAAGAATGCCGCAATCGCTTCCAGTCAACTGCAAAATCATTTGTACTCCATTGAAAGCTGGTTATCACTATGGCGAATTAAAGTCAATGTGCAAAAATGTCGTCATATAATATTTTCTCTTAACAGATCCTTATCACCAACTATCACTCTCAACGGAATAGTAGTTCCACAAACAGAAACAGTGACGTACCTTGGTATTCACCTCGACAAAAGCTTAACTTGGCGGAAGCATATTGAAACAAAAAGGACTCAAATGAAGCTCAAAGCTTTAAGCCTTCACTGGCTAATCGGTCATCAGTCTCCTTTATGTTTAGAGTACAAACTCTTGTGATACAACCAAGTTATTAACCCAATCTGGATATATGGCTTACAGCTATATGGCAATGCCTGTTCGTCAAATGTAGAAATGCTGCAAAGAGCTCAAGAAAAGATCTTAAGAATGATAACTGGTTAGATTTAAGAGTTCCGATGGTTAAAGTCGAATTCGAGAGAATAAGGCAGAAACATATTTCAAATCTTGAAAACCATGTAAATCCGCTGGCTAGACCACTTGCTAATATGACTACTTCCTCTAGACTAAAACGATAGACCCGCCATCCTACTTTCCCAATGATCATCCTGATTAATTCAACTCATAAACCGTGATATCTGGTAAATAAGCCCTGGCTACTTATTCAGAGGCCCCTTGAAATAATTTACAAATCATTATATGTATCATTATAGTATGTTTATATAAAATAATTTGTAATGTAATGTTATTAGTCTTTAAGATTCTAAAACTTATTGTTAGGCTTTAATTTAAAGCGATTCAATAAATATATATAGTTAAATAAAAAAAAAAAAAATTCAGTAAAATGAAGTTTTGATAAATATATCATTAAAAACATTCATGTTTTATATTAAAATCAGATTTTTATTAAATGTTACTTAAAAATTAATTTTTTTAGGACGATATGGTTTTTGGAAATATTAATACAAAAAATTTATCAAGCTTTAATCTACATTTAGCCGTTGGGTACGACATATCTTTTTAATTAAATTTAATTGAAATAAAAATATTTATTTTTATTTGGATTAATAACTAAATTTACTTAAAAATACAAATTTCAAAATTGTTTAGTTTTTAATTATGTTTTTTAAAAATTAAATGACGACGTACTTCTTAGAACAATAAAAAGATTAGAATACTTTTTTGAAAAGTAGTAGTTGAAAAGTATGATACTAGAGCCACTAAAATCTGAGCTAAACTGTTTTAAATTTTTTTTTATGTTTTGCAGTAGGTGGAACTCATCAACAGCTACATTGTGATATTTTAAACCGTTAAAAACGCTTTCTAGGAATAAATGGAGATCATTTCCACCGCAGTGTAGAAACTTCATTCCAGTAATTAGAAGATAGAGCTGAGATTAGAAGGCTTAATACCTAGAAGACTAAGTTTATTTAAGCCATAACGTATGAGTATAGTATAGGTAGATGCAGGGTGGAGAAAGGGTGGCGTCACTGCGCAAGCACAGGGGGTGGGTTAGTTGTAGACTCAGTGACCAAGGTCATGAGACCACAGTTGCATTAGGATGATGGAGTCATGTGAGTAACACTTATCGAAACATATTATGAGGTTTTGGTTAGGAGGAGGAGAGAAGGATGCTAGGGGTTTTGACATCGGGAGGTGAATTATGTCACTTGATAAGA